TTCCACATATATATTTAAGGAATGGGTGTATGAGGCATGGACCAGAGAGGGTGGGAAGGCATTCGAAATCAAAAATCCAAAGCCGTTCCACTTGGTTTCTTCCTTTCGTTTCATGCAATTATTTTTTATATTTTTTAAGTCGGCCCAAAAGGATCTCGAATTCATTAAGAAAGAAGATAGTTGATTGGTTAATTAACAGAAAATTGAGCAAAAACCGGTACAACATTGCACTCGGAGCGACCTGGCAACCCACACAAGAATAAACACACCCCGTCAGGGAGAAAAACATTGTCGAGGTTGCAATCCGATGTCATCGTCACCACTCCTCCGCAAGGCAGCGACTCTGATTGCACCATCGATGACCACCGACATAACGCCAAGGCTTGCACATGCGTCAACGAGCATTACTAGAGAAAAAGCGTTGGGCCCGCGTTGAGCGAGCGCCGGAACCAAGCACCCATCTTGCATCATCGTCACCGCAAGGGACCCTCCTCAGTAACTCTGACTCTAGAAACAAAGTGAGGTGCGACCCCTTGAACACGCAGACCTCCTATGCGGCGCCATTTCCGCCCGTTTGCTTAGTCGGCGCTCATGCAGAAGGTCGAATGGGCTGGCCCATTAAGCTCGATCGTTCATCTCATCGTAGGTAGGCTCGCTCGATCGGTCGTCGCTACCTCTGGCCGTCGCCTTTTAAAAAATTTGAAATTTTTTACGATAACAAAAAACGTTCAAGAATCTGAAAAAAAATCAGATGTTTGAGAAAAGTTCATGAATTTGGAAAAAGGTTCACAATTTTTTTAAACATCACGAATATAACAAAAGTTCACAAATCTAGATTAAACAAATCACGAATTTAAGAAAAGTTCACAGTTTTTTTACAAAATAAAATTTATTTAAAAAGTTCACAGTTTAAATGAAAAACAATCACGAATTAGAGGAAAATCCATAAGTTTTTCAAGATTTTTTTTTTATTTTTTTTGATAAATTGAAGTAAAAAAAGTTCGCAAATTTAAGAAAAAGTTCAAAATTTGTAAAACGTTTCAAACTACAGAAAAAGCACAAAAATTGAAAAGTTTACAATTTTGAAAAAAAAACTCACGAATTTAAAATACTTCTTAATTTTTTGGAAAATCATAATTACTTTGGAAAAAATAAAAAAATTGAAAACGGAATGAAAAAAGAAAAACAAAAAAAGGAACAAAAATCGTGTAGAAAAAATCACCAAAAAACCCAGTCCGGTAAACCGATGGGAACCTTCTAGAAGGTTTGCACAAGGGGTGATCAAAAGAAGGGGCGGGGGGTACCAAATACACTCTCTTTCCCCCGCAAAAAAAAATACACTCTCTTTGACGATGAAGGCGTCAAATAGGATTCGGGTCGAACAGAGCAGATGAGACTGACTACCGAAACACAATTGCAACCCAACTCCACTCCAAGTTCTGTGGCATTAGGATTGTCTGTGATGACAGGGCCCATCACTCCAAACGGCGTCATTGTCTTGAGAAAATCTATAAGGATTCTAAAAAAAATCTATAAATGACTTCTCCATTCATGAAATTCCTCACTTATAATTATGCTATTGGCGGTTATTGGCCCGTCAGTATTGACATATTTTATTCACGTAGTGCCATGGTATGAAGTCATACTGCATTACAAAATAAAATGAAATAAATAAATGGAAACCATGCATTCATCTGTCACTGATCTCTGCTCCCTTCTTCCATGGAATCCAGTGCATGGCTGGTGGTTCTCGTCTCATTTGATCCAGAAAGATCAAGTGGCAGTGAGTTATGGTGCATATTTGAGTTTGTTGTTGATTGCCCTTGCATTTCACCCTCCGGACGACGAATGTGCTCCAAGTACGCATGAGGCCAAACTCCTGTTATTCAACAGTTCATGCAATAACTTCTGTAATTTGTTGGTCTTATGATTATATATATTATAAAATACAGCATAAATTAGCTAGCGACCAAAAGTTTCACTTTTATGGACTATGCATTGGTGATTCAAGAACAGGCGCAGTGCCTTTTCATATGTCCACCTATGCTGGCAGCCTTTGACTATTAGTTTTCTGAATGCCATCTCTTTGATTATCGGTTGATGAAAGGAGAGAAAGACTTGCTTTAGTCGTGTGTTTTATAGTAGCTGCAGACGTCTTCAAGCCCACTTGGGCGGTAGTGGACACATACTATATACTCCATGGAGGGACGGAGGGAGTATTTCTTAATAAGATTTTTTTTTAAACTATTTTGACATAATCCTTCGTTCGGAAATAACTGACGTGGCGGAGGAGTATATGAAACTATGCATCATACCATGTTCACTGTAGGGTGGCGGAAAGAACTGAAGGTAGCAAAACGAAGCAACCACCAATCCTGCGGAGTTGTATCAAGCACAGTTAGCGGCTGTGTGATCTTGATTCAGGAATCATCAGAGTTATAGCAGACGGAAAGTAACTGAACTGAATTGAACACCTACCAAGGACTCCACCAGCAAACACATCCTGCCAGTGGTGCCAGTAGTCAGTCACCCGCGATATTGCAACCATTGTTGCCATAAGCAGTGGCAGAAGAACGACGCAGAGCTTGGCGACGTGGCCTCTTCGGTCGAAGGCCTTCAGTTTGCCTGCCAGGTACCATGACAGAAATCCAAGCCCAGCAAAAGCACCTTCAGGAGGACAAGGAAGACAGCCAGCCATTGCAAGAGTGAGAGGTTTTTTTACGGGTGTCAGAGATTCAGAGAATGGCTTTCAGCACTTACCTGAAGCATGCCCACTCGGGAAGCTCTTGTACCCCTCTTTGATTACGCCCGGTTTACCGTCGCATATCACATCTCGGGTGACGTTGTTGTACTTCTAAAATCGAGTGTTGAGGTAGATAAATCGTTAGCTCAGAGTTACAGATGGAGGATAGCCCATCATCGTTCTACTTAGTACGTATTACCCAAGCTAGAAAGCGTGTAAATTTTACAGTGGTGACGAAGGAGAAACAAGCAAGCTACTGCTAGATCTGAGGAAGCTGTGGGATGAACTCACCGGCACTCCATCAGGAAAGCAGCGCCAAAAGAAGTCCGGGCGCGGCCGGCCAACCGCATCCTTGATCGCAACGGTCACGATAGCAGTTATAAGAACGGAAAACAGGAGGCCTGCTTGGGAATATTGTGTGCATGTCAGAAATAAGCTTAGTGACCACAAAGGGGCATCACTGCCCCAGAAAAATCAAATTAGCCTGCGTAAGAAGGGAAATTAACTTGCCAAGGGTAGCGTGATGCAGGTCATAGACGTTCCTCCTCTTGATGTATGTTCCGACGATGAAAACCATCGGCACAACGATGGCAATGACCTGCACGAAAATCCCAAAACCACTAGTATCAAAGTTCACTCCGGCCTCCGGGAAACTGCAGCTATGATTTCATCAGTGATGTATGGAACCCAGAACATGATCTTCTTCAGAAGACGGGGCGTACCGGCACGGCCCAGTCGGGCACGGTGCTGCCCTTCATGGGGTACCGGAGGTCCGACATCATGTCTTGTGCCACGAAGCGGTGGAACGGCTGGACCAGGCCGAGCGCGCCGGTCGTGGCGACGAGCAGGAGCAGCACGATCCAGTCGAACAGGTGCAGCCTAGCGACCTCCTTTCCGTGCGTCCTCAGGCATGGTTGCACCGCGGCGCTCGGGGCAGGGGTCGCCGGCGGCGGCATCTTTTCCCGCACGCCTCCACAAGTCGACAGCCTCCTCCTCCTCCCCTGAAACGAGAGTTCAGGGTGTTATGTATTTCTTGGGGGGAGGAAGACGACGTTGACGAGCAGGGAGGACGTATCCTAGATAAGTTGTTGACGAGCTGGTTGGTGCTCTGCTGGAGACGCTTCCTGCGTTTGTTCGTGGAAGCTGGAAGGAAGGCAGGGGCGAAGAAGCTGCATTCCATGGTCATTCCCTGGTGTGGGCGAACAAACAATTTCAGTAGCGACTACGCGCCGTGCGTGCCTCAGGTGTGCCCCTTGTGGGCGAACACAGGAAGACGGCGGCGGCGGTCTGTATAGGACAGGGAGATGGTTCGTGAGGACTGAGGAGGGAGAGAGTGAGACTTGGGGATTTTTTATTATTATTATTGAGACCGACATGTAGGTCCCACATGTCATAACGTTGAAAGTGCCGGTCAAACTTAACGGGGTTGACTATTATGTCACATCAGCCCATCAGGGTGGGCCACCCCTGTCATAAACATGTTTAAATTGTCTGAACCGATCACTAACTGAAGGTGGTAGGTCTATGCGAAAAATTGCCTTCAAAGTGATAGATTTTTGTCACGTGCGTGAGAAGTGGCGGTTTATGGGCAAAGTACACATCAAGAATTTGTTAACTGAAAATCTTCTATCAAAATAAAATATTTCCTTCCAGTCTACAAGACATGAGTGACTGTGCTAGATGAAAAATGATATGAACGCAATGTGTAATGCTTCTTTCAAAGAAAAACAAGGGAGTATCGGCCATTCAATTATAAAGTATATGGGTGTATTAAAGATATTCAATTCCTCCCTTCAATTGTGCATATTCAATTGATATATTCCTGAAGTGTAATTTCCCCATCAATCAATTGTAAAACCGTGAAATCTTTTAATCAACTGATTTTTTCACTCCAGTACACAATGTGACAAGCACAATGAAACATTCTGACTTGTATTTTGAATGATAGACATAACTACATCAAGTGCATCATCAATGAAGGAGATAAATTAAATAATCTAACCTCTAGTGGGAGTGTCAGAAATACCATAAATATATATTAGAAAAATGATGTGAAACTTTCTATCTTCTTCCGCCTTAAGAAAAGGTGTGCATGTCAAAATACTCATTATATATGCTTTCTAAGTACCACAATCCTCCCATAAAAGTTTAAAATTCCATAATTAATAAGAAAATCAATTCTGTTTGTAGAACACTCAGGCATAGGTGAAAATATTCCAATCATGTGTTCCTCAATATTCGTCGAGTTATCCTCAGTATGACACTAGGAATTTGTTAATTGTTATTCTAGTGGATCAAGGGTATGTTTTTGATTTGGAGAAGGAAAAGTGGTGGAAAGTGGGAGCACGATATTTTTATGGACAATGGTGGAATTATTGGCAATCATATTAGAATATAATCTTGACCCCAATGAAAACTACAACTGAAACTCGTGACACTAACATGCTTATGATAAGTGGGAGGAAATAACTTGGAATGTCATGTCTAGATAATTATCATGTGTTGTTGGGGGAAGTCGCTCTAAATTTATTTTAGAGGAATTACTAAAGTCTCTTAGGAAGGATTAAATTTTTCATCAAGGGAAGCTATACGAGTGGAGTAAAACACGGGAAGGAACTCAACGAGGAAGAATAAAGTCTGAGAATTTATTATCTTACCAAACAACTGCAAGCCCATTGTTTGTCAAGTTTTTTTTTCAAGAAAATTTGACTCAGTGGAGTATTATAATGTTACTCTTGTTATTCAATTCTTTACACAATTGGAGATATACTTTGTGGAAACTCTTTCTCCGAAAAATTGGGAAGGGAAAATAAAGACATGGTTTGATAATTGAATACATTAATGTATGGTTTTATGACAAGCTTCACATCAATGGAATAGCAGGTCATATTGTTTTCTAAATGAAACAAGGTGGTCGCTTACAAATGTAAGTGTAACATATTTTGCATATTGTACAGGCTAACAATGTTTTTGTTGTTTGCAATGATAAAGTCACATTGATGGAACTGAAAGCTTGGTTATCTTATAAATTTCATATGAAAGGCATGCTTGAACCTTTTGATTATTTGGAAGTGGAAATACATAAGAGTGGTGTGATACATTTTCCTATGGAAAATGAACGTGTTAAAATACCTTCATTAGGGGAATCATACCCAATGAGGAATTATGTTTGCACTCCTAAGGAAAAAAGGAATAATAAATTGTATTGGAATTTGTATGTATCGTAGTTATACTATCAACCTTAGGTACCGGAATTTAAGGTTGCATTCAAGCAGTGGAAGGAAAGATGTGTGGCTAAGGGAATCTCACACATCATGTAATATCGTGGAATGTCCATCATAACCTGCCACTTATTTCGGATTTTATAGCTAAAAGTAATCACATTGAGGGAGATATCATTGTATACATTAGGTGTGAAATGATTAAGCTCAGGTGAGTATATTTGATTTATTTGTATAGTACTAATATGGTGCATGTTTACTGACTAGAGTCAGGATTTCTTTTAAAAACATGTTTACATACACATCGAAATTCATATATTGATTACTATGTTTCAGCCGGGTGGGAGATGTTGGATACTTCTGTGGCTTTTAACATATATTCAACATGGTTATTATTTATGTAACTCAATCTATAATTATTCATATTACTAGCACGATGCCCGTGCGTTGCCAGGAAACCATTGGCTTAGAGGTGGTGAACTAACGTTAGTGTCGTTCATGCCCGTTGGGTGATTTACAATTAGAAAAGATAGCAAATAATACGGTGAGAGACATGCAGCGTAAGAGAATTTGAAATGGCCATAATAGGTTGGGAAGAGAACTAAAATCAAGATCGATTTTGAGTTGAAGTCACATTTTTGTCTTTTTTATTTGTGCCTTTTACAAAAAATTTGGTCTCATGTGAAAGTATATTTGTTTATATGTCTCTTGAAAGCTTGCTAGTTTCACATGCGGATATGTGTGTATTTGTTTATTTTGAAAGGATGTTGGACCTATATGTGAACTCACCACCAACTTCAATCTTTATAAGCAGGAAAGATTAATTTCGTAACATGGAATAATTGATGCGAAATTTTATTCAAGGAAGTAATACTGGACGTGCCGAGACGACTGTGATGGAATACAGTAGAGGAATTAATAGGGGTCGACTCTGCTGAAATCTTATATGTACGCATGTATTTTTTTTTATAGGACATCACAGGGTGGAAGAGCTGAGTTTGTTTTGCACGATCAGCTTTGCAGCCTATTGGCCCACATGATTAAGATTGGAAGTTGACTTCAGATATACAATCTAATAATGGCACATGATTCACATATTTTATCGTGCTAGGGACTAGTATATTTAGACTTGAAAAACTGGCATGTTTATTGTGGTTGGTGACACTGCTCAGGTTTCATACAGATTTTTCTGAAACGGGTGAAATAATAAAACACCTGAAAGTGAAGTCTATAAATAGGTCCTCACCCCTCTAGACTCAAAATGCATTATACGCGGCACCATAAAAAAGAGAGATGAATTAGAGGATAGAGCACATAGTCCACAATTTCCAACACCAAACTGCACCATACATTCCATGTTCCCAATTGAAAAGGTACATTGGCCCAAAGGCCATCCCTACAGCACACCACCCACTACTTAATCCTGATGGTACAATCCTCATCGAGTCGGAAGAATTACTGGAACACAAGCTTATTCCTCGGGTGCAGGGTAACATCAGTATCCCAGTCATTCATTCAGTGGAAGATCAAATGGAAGAACATGCCTCCGGAGCAGGCGACATTGGAGGACTCCGCCTTAATCCATAAAATTTTCCCAGGCTTTGGGGCTTGAGAGCGAGCTGAATCTCAAGGAGGGGGGGCATTGTCAGGAACCAGCTCTGAATATATGTCTCAATATCGTCAAAGTGTAGCATCTTCAGTTATCTTCCTTCTCAGTGTGTCCCCCGATCGCCGATCTATGATCCAACGTCGTCCTACGCCACTTAACACTTCGCGCTCGGGAGATGTCACGGCACATGTTGATCTCTGATCCAGGGGCTCCTGTGCATGGGCGCGTCACTATTTGAATTCCGGCAATAGCACGTTCTTCTATTGTTTACTTTCTGTTTTAACACCTTTTCTCGTCTGTAATCCTATAAGATATAGCGAGTGGGAGCCTACATTTGTAACCAGGATAAACCCTCGCGGCCGTGTTGCGAGTTTTTCCATGTTGGAGAGCTTTGTTTCATAGAGGTGCAACAGTTTAAGAAGGTTGATCAGGGGGTCCTGCAAGGTTCTTGGAGATAAGAACGAAATGAATGTAATATAGCAACAAACCGCAATAATGTGCCTCCAAAAATTCTACTCCAGCAGTAGTATATCCGCGGCCACCATAACCAACACAAAAGCATTACTAATTCTGGACTTCACTTACCCTCAAAAAAAAAAAAATCTGGACTTCACCCATGCCATAAAAAGCTCTATCTAACATGACCCATTATCATCATGCAAATTGTGAGGTAACTAGTTTAGAAGCTCGGTACAGGGAAACAAAAGTTTAAGAGCATGTTTTTTCCTACGATGAGCCTGGGGTGGAGGGGTTTGCGGCGGGGGTGGCTGCGGCGTCCTTCTTCTTCAGGTCTTCAAACTTGTCGATGGCGACCTGCAGCTCATCAGTGCTGCCAACCGCTCTCATGGTGTAGTAGTACACCCCAAAGACGAACCCTGTCAGCCCACCGCCCACCACCAGGTTCTTGGTCTTGGGCGCAAGGCTACCAAATCCCACCATCTGCTCCGGCAACTCGGCGCTGCTGCATACAGGACACAGAGATGGAAATGTTATGGCAACTTGGGACATGTTGATATCAATTCAAAATGCAAAGGCTATGTAGAAGTGTGAATCTCGCATTGGGCATCAGGAGGCAGTTAGACAGTACAAATATTATAGAGTGAGCACATGGCTTCAATTTCCTCCTTCAACCTGGCTCCCCTCTAGCTGTTACACAATTTAACACTCGCAATTCTGCAGCAACTAAAATGTTACTTCCGTATTACCCTAAAAAAAATAGGCGTTGCTGTTTTCTCGAAAGAAAATAGGTGTTACTGATGAGTAGCCTCTCCAGCTAAAAACATATTATTTGTACATCAAAACAGGAACTACTGAGACAGCTTTCTTCTGTGCAGTCAGGGCACTCTAACAAGCACAATATCGAATCTAAACAGCCACCTACCTCACAAGGTCTGTCTACTTGTTAGCAACTTCATAGTGAAAAATAGTGTTGGAACTTGTCAGCAACAAGGATTCAATGAGTCGAGAGGGGAGTATAAATAAGAACATGCCGTTTCCAAGCTTCACTTGGGCCATGTGTGAGATTTGTTGGGTGAACTTTTTAAAACGAAATGCAGCACTCGAGACCTCAGCTTAATTTCTTCATGTTTTCCCATACGCTACATACAGAGATAGAGCACATGTACGTTGAAAAAGAAAACCTATATAGACCACTGCACTGAAGTGTGTGAACGACACATGATGCCAATGTTCAGGATATCGTTAACTGGTACCATACCGGTAGGGTGCTGAGTAGGGATAAATAGGCGAATTGTCCAGTTAATCGGCCAATAAATTAGTTATCCAACCAATAAATCAGTTAATCAGCTACTCGGTGACCCACCAAGTAGTGATTAACTGACCGAGATGCCGATTAACTGGGCGATATTTGGAACAATGCACGATGCAATTTACCATAGCGCTGATAATTGGCATTCTGACAGAGTGAAATACTGAAAGAAAATTCTAAGGAAGTTAGAAATTTTGTTCTTCCACGATTGCTAGTTCAGTCGTGCACACAGAACATGATTACATTTTTGAGAGTTCGCAAATTTATAATCCACGTTGGCTAACTGTTGAACAGTCCCTCTTGCGGTTGATGCTATGAAAATTGGAAATCCTATATGCAATTGCAAGTGGAGCCATTTAATTTACTCCCTTCCCTGTGATGCAGTGCTACATGGATCATATAACCAGAAATTATATACAAAATATTTGTCTCCTTCCTCCCCGTCCTGTGAGCATCCGCAAACCCTACCCTGTGATCAGAATTTGGATCGAAGACGGAGTAGAATGCAAGAGCAAGTGCCTTGATTCCTAAGCTAATATCGTCAAACTGATAATTTGGTTCCTAAGCTTGTTTACCTGTGTATTGGGGTCTAACACAAAAATCTAACGAAACGCGTACAGGCACAAAGTAAATCCAATTTGGTCCCCAAATCCCTTCTGAAAGAGATGCTTAAATTCCCAAAATGCTGTGGCAATATACATGGGCGGGTGCACCGTTGGATGCAACATGACAACCCCTCGTTACGACAGCCCTGCCTACGCTACGGATGGGAAATGAGAGCAGCCGGTCTCGAAGAAAAGAGATCCGTCTGGATTGGATTGGATTCGGTTCGGTTCTTCACCGCAAAAGGTCGTACCAAAGCTAGGGGGTTTCCTTACCGACAGAGGGAGGAGGAGTAGCAGGAGCCGATCCAGATCCTGTAGGAGACGTGCAGAGATTTGCTCCGCTTCGACGCGTGCTCCGGTGGGTTCCGGCGGAGGAGAACGAGCGGGACGGCGTCGGTGGGCGGAGGCGGCGGTGCGGCGTGGGGAGGGCAGGAACCAGGCGAAAGGGGAAATGGTTTTGGATTGGTGGTGCGTCCCGTGTGCTGGGCTGGGCTGGGCTGGACCTCGACATGTACTGTGGGCTTCACCAGCAACCCAACAAAGCGACTGCCTTCTTTTTCTTTCCTTCCGTTCACCTTTTTCTAAAAAAATACAGCAACCATCTTCTACCAATCTACAACTCATTTTGTCCGTAAAAGGAATTCCTCTTCCTCCCGTGGAAGTTGGCATGAACCGTTGGCATTTATTCTTTACTGTCAAAAATTCATTTTTCTATTTTGTAAGGAAAAGACTCAAGGCCATAAATTTAATAAAAATGGTCCTTACAAGAACTTCTGCATAAGAATAAAAAATTACAGGTAGGTCCTTAGAAATCAATGATGTCTTCTTTCTACATCCACCGGCACGCACCGTGAACTTAGTTTGTTGCCATCTTTGGGCCTCTATCTACCGGAGCAACCACGTGAAACTCAGAATAACATAAAAGCAACAGCCGTAAAGTCGTTGAATTTTTTTTTTTGCCTACATGTTGGTTACCAACGTTTAGCACCAAACCAAGCAATATTTGAGTTTTCCCCGTGAAAGCGCCAGCCATTCATGTGTGCGGAATTTGAATTAGATGGATCATCAGACATTTAATGTCGGCTGGTATAAAAGCATTATTTACATGGCCAGCCACTGTAGAGAAATGAATGGGCTCCAAATCTAAATTTAAATGCATTTGAGAAAAAAATTCATATTTCTACTTAGGGCCCGTTCGGAAGCCCACTAACTTCTAACTCCGCCAACTTACTACTTCATGCTAATGTTCCCAGACACGTGTCCTCTCAAGATCTCTAGTTCATGGGTGTGTTAAGTTTATATTAATTTATTTGGTTAATGAAATGTGCATATATTCCTAAATAATAGTTTTCCATGATTATATTAATAAAAACATGGGCATTCATAGACAAATAAAAAATTACCCTGCAAAAAAAATCAGAAATTATCCTTTTATGCAGATCTATTTTTGACAATTTTTACGTACTTCGTTAATTGTAGAATTGGATTATGTGAAACTCTGATAAGCAAAATATGCGCCAAAGAAGTATAACTCACATGTTCAATAGTTCATGGACTTGGTGATATCGATTGTTTACCAACCAATCATGTTTCGTATACAACATTACAATTATTAATATTGCTCCACTAATTGTCAGAATGAACGAGAAAATACTCGCATAAGAAATTAGGGGTCCATTCAATTTTTTGGTTTTCCCTAGAAACTTTGGTCTACTGCCTTCGTGTAAAACTCATGGTTTTGAATAGCGCATTGTAGCTCTAGTGTGCTGTGTGCTATAGCCTTTAATAGAGGTCCTACGCTAGCCGACTTTGATCCAAACACATGAATAAACATTTTACGCTATAGCATGGATATAGCATTGCTATATATATATAGCATTTAGAAGGGGTCTGCAACTAAAAGACATAGTCTGCTATTTAAAACTATGGTAAAACCCCACGGCCATGGACTGAGATTTAAATTGGACTGAGATTTAAATTGTTCTTAGGCTGCTAAGAATTAACAAATCGTTTCATAAAATAGTGTTTTTTAACATATCATGTGCTTTTTTAGCAATCATACTAATCAATTTTACAAAAACTTTACGTACTACTGTAGTTACAATCCAAATAAACTATCGCCTAGAGTTTTTATAGAACTTTCATGTTTTTTCCAAAAAGAGGGGACTTGCCGGCCTCTGCATTAGTCCATACGGCCACCTTTATAAAAAAAATAAAAAGGTTCAACAAGGTCTTATAGTCTGAAAACAAATTAACGACAAGCTCACAAAGAGCCACAACGCCAAAAACAAAAAGTCAAGAAGGCACAACCGGCTGGCATAACAAAGATAGGTAAACTAATCGCCTATCCTATTACATGACCGCCATCCAAACCGGTTGAAGATATCTCGTACTACCATCTCCCACATGATAGATCCAGTAACCAAATGCTCCCTGGCCTTTGTCGGATTGAGTAACGACCACATATGGATCAGTGCAATGGCTCGGAATATAACCTGCAAAAAATGAATATTTGTTGTTCTGTTAAAAGCCAAATCATTTCCGCAGTTTCAAATTACCCACAACAAAGCACATACTCCTACGTAAATGTGTCTAGTTGTTTCAGACTCTATCCCAACAAGCCATGTTCCAAATAACGTATTGACCGAATTCGGAGGAGTAATGTTAAAGGCAATGTGCACCGTGTGCCACAAAACTCTGGCCAACGGGCAATCAAAGAATAGGTGTTTGATAGTTTCATCCCGATCACAAAAACTACACCTAGTAGATCATGTCCGGTTGAGCTTTACCAAGTTATCCTTTGTTAATATGACTTGTTTATGTACAAACCACATAAACACTTTAATTTTCAAAGGAACTTTGACTTTCCAAACATCTTTGGAACTAGGAATGGCACTAGAGTTGAAGACATCGATATACATCGATTTAATTGTGAACTCTCCAGACCTAGTAAGCTTCCAGCATAACTGATCGGGCTGATGAGATAGCTGAACCTTCATCAGTCTACTCACCAAACGAAGCCACGCATCCCACCGGTTGCCAACAAGCGTCCTCCTAAACTGAATATTAAGGGGGATGGACTACAAAATCGTTGCAACAAAAGCATCACGTCGTTGAACAATACTATACATGGACGGATACTGAAGCGCCAGCGGCGTTTCACCAAGCCAAGTATCCTCCCAGAAGCGTGTGGTGGTGCCATTACCGACTATAAACTTTGTCCTATTAAAGAAGGCTGCTTTGACTCTCATAAGACCCTTCCAAAAAGGCGAGTCAGTCGGTCTCACTGTCACCTGGGACAAAGTCATGGACTGCAGATACTTACTACGGAGAATTTGCGCCCACGTGGCCTCAGTCTCAACTAATAACTTATACAGCCACTTACTGAGAAGACATCTGTTCTTGACTTCAAGATTCTGAATACCAAGGCCCCCCCTGGTCCTTTGGTCGACAGATGATATCCCATTTGGCGAGTCTGTATCTTCTCTTTAGTTCATCACTCTGCTAGAAGAATCGGGATCATAGAAGTCCAACCTTTTCCTAACACCAACTGGAACTTCGAAGAAAGATAAGAGAAACATAGGTATACTCGTGAGCACCGAATTAATAAGAATCAATCGGCCTCCATATGACAT